TGATTAGGTGTAAAAAAAAAAAAAAAAAAAAAAAAAAAAAAAAAAAAAAAAAAAAAAAAAAACAAATATCTTTATTGTGTTCTCTTAAGTTTATTACTTCTATTATTATCATTATTTTAGCTGATTCTAGCTATATTTATATAGGTTGCGACACATTCTATTAAACTACCATTGTGTTATGCAAATTAAACTTTTGGCTGATTAGATTTCTCTATTTATAATCTGCTGTTTCATGTCTAGTTATATAATTATCAGTGATCTGGATTGACTTATATATTTTTCCCTGCTAACATTTCCCTCATGCTTATTTTTATTTGTCTTTGCACATATAATTATACTAAACCTTCAGCTTATAATATTTCTTTAGGATCTTAATATTGATAGGACTAGCTAACACTCATCCATCAGCAATTTGCGACTTGTATACATTGTGAATAAATATGTTATACATATAGTATGGTCCATTCTATTTGTCAGTGAATTTACTGCTTCATGAATATTCTAACATTACACAGTACATCAATACTTTGTCACTGATATCGAAAGGTTCAGTTAAGTTGTAGTTAATATTATGATAGACTTTCTGTTTTGCTTACAATTAACTGACTTGATTTACAATCCATTCCCTTGCTCTAGATAAGTGCTCTATTAAATCATACATCCATTGTAGTATGGTTCTGTCTAATAATTTGTCTGTTGTACTTGGATGTATTGGCTAACGAGCCTTATATCCATATACAAGATAGAAAGGTGTCATTTCTGTCATAGCATGCTTGGATATATGATAGGCAAAAAGGATGAATGGAATCAGTAAGTCCCAATCAGTTACATGTTATGTCAGTTTGGCTATAACTTTATACAAAGTATAATTAAAGCACTCTATCAATCCATTAGTTTGTGGATAATATAGTGTCATAAACTTCTGCTTATTTTGGAGCTTTTCTAACAGTATTTGTATTATTTTATTCTTGAAGTAAGTATCATGATCTGTGACAATCTTTTCAGGACAACCATGACAATAAATAATATCATCATATATAAAGTCAACTATGGTAGACATGTTTGCTTTCTCAGTGGCAACTGCTTCTGGCCACTTCGTCATATAATCTATAGCAATAATAATATATCTTTTCATTCTAGGGATGCAGGCAAAGGTCCTATAAAATCGATATCGATTTGATGAAAAGGCACCAATATTAATATTGATTGTAAGGGGCCACTGATATTGGTCACAGCTCTGGATATAATAGTATATATTATCATATATGTGTGATTAATAATAACTAGCTTTAATCTTTGTAAACATTGTATCTTTATTAAAATGTCCATCCAAAGGGTGACGATGTGTTAGAAATAAAACAGGTTCAACTTCATGCTTTTGAAGCACATACAATAAGTGATTCTTGTCTTATTTGTTCTTCTGATAAAGGATACTATCTTTGAATATGTAACTTTACTTTTTTGTTGCAATACATGCCTATCTTTTGTATTAAATGTTATTAGGACCTTTTGATATTGAAGATAGTTTCAGAAGTGATTATAGTGTTTGGTTTCCATTTTTTTTTTATACGTATATGTCAGGACACTGAAACCTGAACTGGATTCTGTTTCTTGGATTTTTTTTTTTAACTACTCCATTCTCCTTATTTCTTTCTTTTATCTTCTCCTTTTGTTTCTTATAAAGTTATACAGTATTAGAGGTGGGACAATATGTCAGTGTTGCTATGTTTTTTGCCTTTGCAATGTATAATAGTGAAATTACTAATAAAGATTACTATCTTTGAATATGTAACTTTTATTCTTTTGTTGCAATACATGCCTATCTTTTGTATTAAATATTATTAGAACTATGGTTCCAAAAATTGAAATCATATAGACTCGTATGGACTCGCATACATATAAAAAACATAAGTGGATTATAATCCATCTATTAAATTTACTATAAGAGCTGAAATCAAATGAAATCGAATATAGAATTGTTAGGATCCTTAGTTAGAACCTTTTGATATTGAAGATAGTTTCGGAGGTAATTATAGTGTTCAGTTTCCATTTTTTTTTTATATGTATATGTCAAGATACCGGAATTTGAACTGGATTCTGTTCCTTGGATTTTTTTTTTTCAACTACTCCATTCTCCTTATTTCTTTTCCTTATCTTCTCCTTTTGTTTCTTATAAAGTTATACAGTATTAGAGGTGGGACAACATGTTAGTGTTGCTATGTTTCTCACCTTTGCAATGTACAATAGTAAAATTGAAAGCTTGTAATTGGAAAATCCATCTTGTTCATCTTTTTGTTAATTTAGACATTTGCAATTACTTGAGTACCTTATGATCTGTAATTACTATAAAGTATTTTAGTCCATAATAGTATTGAAAATACTCAATTGTCTAGATTATGGTTAAACACTTCAACTTCATTATGGTATAGTTTTGCTTGTACTTAGTTAATCTGTGACTGGCATAGATGATTATGTACTCCTGACTATATATGTGGTAGAATTGAATTCAACTATTTTTTAAAAACCATATTATGGTAAAATTACCAAGTAACATATAGTAAATAATTGAAATTCGTATTTAATTTGAAATCATATTGTCGATCAAATTTCCTTTTATGGTAATATGACCACATGTATATTCCTGACTATACATGTGGTGGAATTGAATTCAACCATTTTTCAAAAATCGTATTATGGTAGAATTACTAAGTAATATATAATAAATAATTGGAATTCGTATTTAATTCAGAATCGTATTGTCGATCAAATTTCCTTTTATAGTAATACAACCACATGTATGCTCCTGACCATTCATATCCTTCTATATTAGTATGGCTTCTAGCCCATGTCTGAATATGTCAATATATATATAGAATATTTTATTGTAGTCCAAATACCTTAGAACTAAGGCAGTGATAAGGTGTTGTTTCAATCACTCAAAGGCTTGATTCTGATTGTCCTGCCATTTATATTTAACATTATTTTTTGTTAGATAGTATAGTGGTTATGCAATAATGAAGAATCCTTGAATAAACTGTCAATAATATAATGCAAGACCAATAAATCTATGTAGCTAATATATGTTTGTTGGTACTGAAAAATACTTTATTTTATCAACCTTAGCTATGTTAAGTTTGACTCCATCTTTGCCGATCATGTGACCTAAGAAGTCTATATATGTCTGAAAGAAAGTATATTTACTTAGGTTTAGTTTTAGTCCAGCCTTACTGATCTTAATTAGTATAGCTTGGATATGCATCAAGTGCTTTCCCATTGTTTTGAAGTAGATGGTTATGTCATCCAGGTAAACCATCACGAATTTTCTGATGAATTTATATAGCAGCATATTCATCAGATGCTGAAACATTGCTAGGGCATTACACAGTTCAAACAGTATAATTGTAAATTTATACATTCCTGCAAATGTAACAAATGTCATCTTTTCTTGTCTTTTTCATATATTTTACTTGCCAATAGCTTAACATAAGATCAATGGTACTAAACCATCATGTACTAGCATATACTTCAATTAGATTGTCTACTAATGATAAAGGGTAGGCATTCTTTTTTGTCACTATGTTGATTTTTCAATAGTCTACACTATACATGTGGTGTAAATTATTTTGCTGTTGATTCAATTACCAAAATTCTCAAAAATAATTATGTCTGACTCAATTATTTTATATGTTTTAATAGTGACTCAATTAATTGCATCAAATAATTATGTCAATTGCGTCAAGGATCTATCAATTTATATTACATGTATAGTCTACACATAACTTAAGTTTTCCACCATTTTTCGGTATTATGACTATCGAAGATGATCATCGACTTTTTGATTCTCACACTAATTTATGCTTTTCTAAGTAAGCTATTTTTTTTTTTATAAATTCTCTAATATCTAAGATAGTTCTATAGATGTTTTGCTTGATTGGGCTTGCCTCACCAGCATCGATTTTGTGTTCGACAATTTTGATGCAACCCAACTCTGATACAGATTGTATAAACATGTCATGCCCTTGTTTCAACATGTCTTTTATCTGTCCTATCTGTTCTGCTACAAATTTGTTATCTATTTCTAGTTTCTCAATCTTTCTTCGATATTTTTCTCTTATATAATTTCCATTGGTATTGGGAGTTCTTCGATCTGTGCTACGGGATCTTTTTCGAGTGTGCCGGTGTCAAAATTGATTGTTGACTTAATGATTTGTTTATCTCTAATATGGCTTAATTCCTCTAGAACTTCTGCTTGAATTTTCTCTATAATGATGCTTGTTTTGTTGCCTTTTTCGATACTCACTTCTTCACTTGTTTTCTCCTCTTCTGATGGCAACGATTCTCTGACCTGGGTGAAGTACATGGCAAAACTTGATCCCTTAGATCTTGTCTTATTGTTAAATCCTAAGTTACTACATGACTCAGATTGCGTGTCATCATTGGAATCTGAATCACTATGTGACTTCCTTATGTAATACACTTCTTTTTTTTATTTTTTGTTTCTCATATATAATTTTGTTTAGAAACTTATTAGTTTGTTTTTCATCATATTGTTCATTATCATCAGTTTCGTTAGCGAGCATCTTTCTTGCTCTATCATTGGTAATTGGAACCTTGATCTTTTGATCCTTGTATTTTAGAATTAACTTTTGTTCATCAATATAGATTCTTGCCTTGACCTTTTCGAACCAATCATTTCCTAAGATTAATATCTCATCCTTGGAATCGACCACTTGTACTGGTGTCGGGATTAGTATTTCTTGTATTGATATTTTCAGATTATTAATATTTCCTAATGCCCTAGTCCTTATGCTTATAATAGATACTATTGTTATTGTTAATCTCTCGTCAATTTTTAGTTTCAGCTGGTCCATCAGTTTCTTTGAAATAATACTTATGGTAGCTCTCGTATCAATGACTATCTCTATTCTAATATCCTTGATTTATACCTGATATCTTATTGCTATTGTCTCTTTTTTCTTTTCTTTTATCTTTATCTCTTTTTTCTCCTTTACCTTTGTCACGATATAGTTTATTTCCACTTTGATGAGTGATTTGTGCATTTCCTTTGCTAATATTTCCCTTAGGCCCTGGAACTGTAGCATTTGCTTAATTGTGATATTTGCGAATACTGCAAAGATATCTTTTAGGATATTGTAGAATGACATCTTTTCAATTTCTAACAGTCCTTTTTTTCGTTATGGCTTCCTTATGGTTGACATTGCTTCCTCCATTTCTTCATCAATATTGATCAGTGACTGGTCATCATCATCATATCTGTCAGTTCGTGAGTCAAGTTTTGGTTTGTTCCTTAATTATCCATTCCATTGTGAACTTGGCTTTAATGTTTCCTTTCTTTTCCCTCTTGCATCACAATTTTCACCTGCATATGTTTCTCTTTCAGCTTTTTTGTTATCTTTGATGTCAAGGAATTGTACTTCATTAACCTGATTGGATCCATTTGTTGGCTGGTTCTTCTTGGTACAGTTTCTGACAATATGGCCCTTTTTGTCACATATGAAACAATTCCACTCATTTGTATTTGTGGGCTTTGGTCGATTGCCATATCCACTTGGTTCTGGTTTGTTGTAGCTTTTTTTCATTTCTCTTACTTGTTTTAGCAATTCTTGGATGTCATTTTCTATTTTTCATGTTTTTTCTGTTTCTTTGCTTCCATGATGAATCTCAAAACTCTTTTCATCTTCAAACTGCTTAGCTTCATAGATTGCCTTGATTAATGTAGCTGTATTCCTAATAGCAGGTACTGATGCTATTCTTTCCTTTAGTCTGTTCACGAATATGTTTATCACACAGGTTTTCGAGTAGTTGTTATTAGAGTCAATCCTTTTTAGCAACCTTTGGAATCTGTAAGTATATGTCATCACTTTTTCATTATTCCTTTGCTTCAAGTTAAACAGTTTCATTTGTTATTGATGCTGCTGCTTCATTGATATGAAACAGTGCAGAAAGTTCGGTACAAAGTTTTTTTAACATTCTTGCTTATTGTTCCAATGCTTTAGTTGGTCTTGATAGTCTTCATACCAGTCTGACACCATGCTCTCCAGGTAACTAATCACCATTCTTAATTTCTTTTTATTCATCCAGTTGTTGGATCTTATTACCTTTTTGTATAATTCCAGTTATATATACAGATTTTCAAATTCTTCGCCTCTAAATTCTTATACCTTGATCCAGTGGACTTCTCTTTCTTTCCTCAGCTTCACCTTTAGTTCCTAGTATGCTGGCTTTAAACTGTTGATTGAATTTGTTACATTTAGTGAGATACTGGTGCCTCACTTTCTTCTTGCTTGCAGCATGCTGAAATCGATCAGGTTTACTTCTAGATCATTATCAAATTTGAAATTCATCATTTTTATATTTGATTTTGATTATCAACATGTTATGGGTTCTTGTAACAGATTTTTACGAAAGTATTATTTTTGGCTTACTTTTGTTTTTCTTTTAATTGAACTTTTACTTATTATAAATTTTTCTTTTTTTCTTAAAATTGGTATATTCTTCTGTTCATACAATTTTATCAGGAGAAGAGAAAGGTAATGAATATTGTTTCTAATTGAATTGCTTCAGTCCTTCACTAAATATTATCAGTATATAGCAAGTCTATTGTTAGTCCGAAGCTAAGGCTTGCATAGCAATAAGAATAGGGTCAAGAATCATTTGCTTAATTAAAAGTATATACACAGTGAAAGTTGATATAACGAACTAGTCGATTCCATTAATAAAAATTTTCAAAAATCCGTTATAACGAAGAAATTCGATATAGCGGATAAAATACTATAATCTGTTCTCAACGTCAATCCGGTATATCGAGATTTTACTTAGTGTCTGTTATATCGAGAGTCCGTTATATCGACTTTGACTGTGTATTAATATCAGTATGTATTAATATCCTTTCTTATTTTGTATTGCCGGACTAATTCTCTGTTACAATTCCCTTATATGCCTTTTAGAATTCTTAACGGCCAATAACTTTTCAAAGATAAGTATATTAATTATTATATTAATTGGTACAAATAGTATTTAATAAGTGATTATCTTTATTGTGTTCTCTTAAATTTACTACTTCTATATTCTCATTACTCTAACTGATTCTAGCTATATTTATACAGGTTGTAATATGTTCTACTAAATTATTGTCGTATTATGCAAATTAAACTTTTGGCTGGTTAGACTTCTCTATATATAATCTGCTACTTCACATTTAGTCACATGACTATCAGCAATCCAGATCAACCTATATATTTTTTTCTATTAACATAGATAAAAAGATATACATAAAGACAAAGTTATAAAGAAGAATTGCTATAGGCCTTTTTTCAAACAAATAAAGAGTAAACAAAACTTCCAAACTTGTATGACTCTTGTCTAGAGGTTCTATTCCAATACAACAGTGATCTTTAAAGTCTTTATGTTCTTGAGCTTATAGTATAGATAGTATATTGAAAGAGTAGAAAGCATTTCTTCAAAGAAAATTATTATAAAAGAAAATTTTCAAAGAATTAGTAATAAATAGATAAGAGTTTTTTTTTTTTTTATATGAAAATATTTCTTTTAATAATTTAATTAATAAAATATATAAACTTAAAATTTAATATTAATTCCAGTAAATCAAAACTCTCTCCTGATCACGTCTGTTTTCTTAAAAATTTCCATATATGGTAATTTTGATTAAAGAAAAATGTTTTACACTCTTTATTGCAAGTGAGCCTCAGCTCAGGAACTCAAGAACACTAAAGACAACTGGTGCAGTGGGATGGGACCTCTGGTCGAAGTC